CCCCAAAACCCCAAAACCCCAAAACCCCAAAACCCCAATCTCAAATCCTAAATTGTAGAACCCAGACAATTAATTTAAACTATTATGAGTTCAGTACTGACTTATGGCAGCGGAGAGTGAGAGCAACTAGGCTTAGAGAATGCTCCGCTAGAGATTAAGAAGCCAAGAGCTATACCTTTCTTCCAGGCTCCCATGAAGATCAAAGAAATAGCTTGTGGAGGCATGCACACAATTTTGTTGACCGCTCAGGGCTGTGTCTATACCTGGGGATGCAATGACGAAGGGGCACTTGGTAGAGTCGGCGATACAACCGTCCCTAAAATTATAGAGGACATTGAAGAACCAATAACAGGAGTTACATGCGGGGATTCACATTCAATAGCATATAGCATAGATAAGAATTTGGTCTATTCATGGGGTCTTTACAGAAATACAGTCAGTGGACCTATAGGGAAAATAGCCAAGACTCCAATGAAAATTGCAGAGAGAAACCTCAAAGGTCTCCAGCTTACCAAAGTTATGTCAGGTAGTCACCACACTCTCATGCTTGCCAGTGGAAGAGTGTTTGCCTGGGGAGATCCAGAAAGTGGCAAAATTGGACGAAATATCAAAACCAGAAGAAGAAATGAGAGCGGATTAGTGATGGAGCCTGTTGGACTAAAAAGAGTCAAGGATATCTTCTGCAGCAGGAACTCTTCCTTTGCTATATCAGAAGACACGAAGGGCAATACTAACTTATACAGCTGGGGACTCAACAACTGGGGGCAGCTAGGTCTTGGTCATAATAAAGAAACATCTAAACCAGAAATAATCAGGGAGTTCAAGAATAAGAAAGTACTGAAGGTTGTAGGAGGGGACTCTCACACTGTAATCCTTGTTCAAGAAGGAGCTGAAGCTCTCTGTGAGAAAACTACTAAAGTATACACAGTTGGGCTTAACGATGAAGGGCAGCTTGGAATCGGAGACACCTACACAGAATACAGGAGGAACAAGAATGAAACCAACATGAAGCTTGATGAAGAAGAGAAAACTCTTAAACAAGAGAATGAGAAGAAGATTCAAGAGATCAAAGATATTCCAGAAAAAGACCTTGAAGCCAAGGAAAAGCAGAAGGAAATTAATAAGGCTAACAATGAGTTGAAGAGGAAACTCAGAGCTATTGAAAGTAAGCGGAATTCACTGGAGAATTCAGAGAACGCTCAATACTTTACCACTGTCCAACTTGTGGAAGGAATTACAGATTCTTTTGATATATCAGCAGGCGCAAATTATAGTTACGCCATTAGACAAAGAAAGATAGAAGAGGACTCCAAGGAAGATGCCAAAGGTGAAGAGACAAAGCGTATTGATCCAAGGATCAACCAACTTTTTGCATGGGGAATGGGAGAGAACTATGTCCTCTGCAATCGAGAAGATGAGTCTTCATACACTCCTCTGGAGGTCAAACTCGAAATGCTCAGAGAGCTAAACCCGATTTCCGTATCTTGTGGTACAATGCACTGAATAATGAGGTCGATCAAAATTGAGGAAAATCCTGAGGACTATGGCCTTGAGCCAATTTCCCAAACCATAGTCGACAGGTTTGCTAATGATATCGCTAAAGAGATTGATGCAAATAGGAAAAGGAGAAGGTCTGAAATAGAGAACGATACTAAGCCTGTTAAAGACGATACACAAGCTAATGAAAAGAAAATTCATACAGATAAGTCTCCAAAAAAGCTTAAAGAAGGTCAGAAAGAGACTAAAGAGCCTGCTGAAGAGGGTTCAGTGAAGATCAATGAGGAAGAGAAGCAACCAAAGGATGTTCAGCACAAAGAAAAGGCTGTAGATGATAAGTCTAAACAGAAATCTACTACTAATGGAACTAACGGGACTAAAGAGACTCAACTCTCATCCAAAAATGATCCAAGATCCTCAGAAATTACCGAAAAGAAAGAGGCTGAAGGGGATGTAGAGATGAAGGTTTCTCCAAAAGAGACGGATAACCTCTTAAAAGCCTCTCCTAAACCCGTTTCCGTGACTCCATCAGGGAAGAGAGTGAAGGTCTCTGAGACCCCTGAGAGGATGGTTGAGATTCCTAAGCCAAAGAAGTAATCTACCAGATCTTTAAAACAAGATTTAGCTAATAAATTTATCTCATGGTTCACATTATTAAGATGTTTTGGTAGGTGGGCAAAGCCAGCGGGATCTCTACTAGTCTAGGTCACTCATGCCAGATATTTAGGCATCGGCTCCTTGCCAGAAACTTCATTGCGTTCGAAGGGGTATAGAAGTACCAGTAGATATAAGGGAAAATTAGAGATAATGTTTATGTGCCTGTGATACAAAGCAAATTAGTTCAATTTCATCTTTAAGACAGGGGTTTTGGGGTTTTGGGGTTTTGGGGAG